TCAGGCATCAAGTTCCCCTTTCAGAAGATCTTCTCCAAGAAAGGCTGCGAGCCTGAAACTGGGGCAAATCCCATCTCGATCGCAGGAGAAGCTCACCTCTTGTGAGCTGTTGCGAGTGTTTCTGCTCGGGAGGCACATCCAACATGCCGAGCTCTCAAGTGCCAAGCTGCACCTCCAACACCGTCTGAACATAGACCCCAAGATATGACATCACGAATGAGAACACAGGCACTTGCTCCGGCCCTCAAGCAGATACTCCCCTACAATTCCATCCGCGAGGCTGACGTCTCGAGCTCACTCAGAGGGGCTAAACGTGAAAGTCAGCCCTTTGCTTGTCCTCGGATGCACCGCCGAGTAGGAGAGCTATTGATCTGAAATCTGGAACAGTAGCAGGATGCAAAGAGACAGTTGCTCCTGCCTTGATGCGTAACATTCGAAGCATCGGAATGCATTGGACGAATCGTTTAGAAATCGCTGTCAGACAGAGGCCCGATTGGAATATCGTCCACTCGGAGGTCCGACCTTTCTGGGCCTCTGCTCGCATAGGGATGCGTGCAGCTCAGGGGCATCATCATCGAAGATGTAAACGTAGTTCAGGTTAGCGCTTGCACTCTCGTCTGCGGTCACGGCCGTCAGCGAGTACCTCTACGACAGCATGGCCTTTCAAGCCCAAGGGCCCAAGGTCTCACGTCACGAACTCGAAGCTCATGAGTCATGATGCTGATGTAGGCCCCTCAGTTCTCAGTGGCTCCTGCTGGCCTGTGCAGAAGAGCCTCCAGCCGAGCGTAGTGGCCGTTGATGGCCGCGGCTGCATCCATGCACTGTATCCTTGGGCTTTAAGCGCTCATAAGGGCTTCCGGTCTTGTTTGTTTGATCGCTCCTATTTCTTCAGCATTCTGGGTTCTTGGTGCAGGGTTGAGGAGGGTTTTGGGTTTAGTTTGCTTCGCTCGTTCAGAAAGGGGCCGTGAGTATCAGCTGGCTGAAGGGCGAAAGACAAGCAGAAGTCACGCTGTAGCTACCTTGAGGAGCATTCCATCTTCCGACGCTTCTCTCAATATCGGGATCAACTCATGTTTGGCTAAACTCTGCTGGGTCACCTATTTTTCTTTCAACCATCTTACTGTTGACATGTACAAGTGCTCAACCTGTTGCCGCCAAGCCACACCGAACCTTTGGCGACCAGTTGCAGTTCGCCATAGCCTCGCGATGCACAGTAAACAATCGTGGATACGGCAAAACAGGGGATGCTAAGGGTTGGGTGACAAAGCCAGCAGTGCCAGCGACCGCACAATGCCGCCCTGCGGCTCTGTATGAAGTTCTGCAGAGACACGCCGTAGGCGAAGACCTTCCCTTCGGTCCTCGGTGGGGAAGCTTCCTGCGACCCACCTCCAAGCCCATGCGTTTAGTTTGCTGAGGCGGGCGATGCCAAGAACCTGAGGCAGTTTTGGCCTTTGCCCACAGTGAAGCTGAGACCAGGACGGCTTCTGCCGAAGGATTATACCTCCGAAATTCTGTGGAAAGCTGACGGTTTCACACGTTGCTTTTGCAAAAGCGAAGAAAAAACTCATTGAAGGGCAGGCAAAAATACCCCTGCTGCAAGGCCGAAGCCGTCGAAGCCAGACTGCAACCTCCCCAACCTCCCCAGCCCAATGCCAGCACAGCCTCCAGGCACGCAGGTTCCCAAGTAGGGTCGCGCTGCCAACCTCTTGAACATGACCGGGGAAGCGGCTTCTTTCACAGTAAATGTAGGCCCCGTGCCCTGGTATCATCAGCACCGAGAGCAGAAGCAATCGGAGCACCGCGCAAGGGCTGAGACATGGCATGGGCTTTGTGATCTGAGATCTGGCACAAAAGTCTTCTGGCTGTGGGATGCTGCGGGTGCGGCAGACTGGTCGCTCCTTTGGGCTCACGGATAATCGAGATAGTATATCAGGTCTCCAGGTAATCTTAACTCATGGCCAGCATCATATTTGAGCACAGCTGGAAGCACAGAACTTGCAGGACTGTCTGCACGCAGACGAATCTTCAACCTACTACACAAGTCTGCAGCCACTGCGGAAAGACACACTGTGCATCGGCTACTAGCAGTGCTTTGCAAGTAAGACGATCACAGGGCACTAATCTCCCGTGGCGGTGGTATCGTCAAGCCTCAACAAGACTGTAAACCCATTGATCGAAGAACCTGATCACACTTGACTTGATATAGGTCACGGTTCTGTACACCAAGAGTGCAATATACTCCCTTAATATATCACATAACATAGCATAATAATCACTGTCGTTTGCCCTAGTTTGTCTTCGAACAAGGTGCGAAAAGCACGGCAGGGCCCATACTTTCGCATGTTAGCATTTTTGAACATGGCGTCCCCTTTATGATTATATGCAGAGCAAAAAACGCAAAAAACACTCGATGTTTCTGCGCGGCCGATGTTCCTGATTTTGACAGGGAGGTGCAGCGGCAGGACGGGATGGAGGCTTGAGGCCAGATTCTGCAGAATGTGTTCCTTCAAGCTTCGAGCAATGTTGGAAAAAACATGGCAGGCCGGTACTTTCGCGTGTTAGCATTGCTCAACATGGCGTTACCGTTATGATGATATGAGCATCAAACATGCAAAAACAAAACAACAAGGATGTTTCTGTGAGGAAACATTTGTGGATAAATAGTTTACGCATGGATGCACTGGCCAATGGATGGGTTGGCAGCATCGACGCTGTCATGGTTTGGGCATGTTTGGGCATGCATGCACTGGCCAACAGATGGGTTGGTAGCATGGACGTCCAATAGATGGGTTGGTAGCAAGGACATGGCACGATACCGACCTGAGCGACAGAGAAAGCACGGCAAACGAGGGTGATGGAGCCTATTTTCTGTGCTGAGATTCCCGAGCCGTTACCTTCGGCTCTCGTGGCCATATATCTGGTGCAACCGAGCAGAGAGCAAACCAGCAGGAGCGAAGGGGTCTGGGGTCAAGGATCGAGGGTTCAGGACGTTTTGAATAAGCAACACCCAAGAAGCGTGCCAACCTTCCTCCACAATGCATTGTACTCACACAGAATCAGCATCACGATCCTTGGAGCTTCCATCTCGGGCTATTTTGTTCACCACTCTGGCGCAAAGTCGTCGTTACATCACAAAGCCCAATACCTGCACAGGAACCCTCCAAGAAGTACTAAGAAAGCGCAGAAGCTCATAGAACAACACGGGGACATCACTGGGTTCGAACCCGAAGTCCAAGAGCCCTAAAGGTCCTGAACGCTAAATGGACACGGAGCCCCCTTGGAACTTGGGGCCCCGGTCTGCGAGCGGAGCGCTCGAGGAATGTCACAAGCATTGCTGGAAATGGTGAGAGAGCTTCTGGGTATGCAGCAAGCAAGGAAGTCCACAAAGACCCGTAGGAGGCAGGAATGGAGGCACACGTACAACCGAAAGCGCCGTTTGCATTTAGCCAGAGCTGATCTTGCAACAACTTGCGGCTCCTTAGCCATACCTGGAGGGCCGACATGACCCTGCAACAACATGGGAAAGGTCAAACATCTGTACGATCGATCAAACCGAGCTCTCGCCTGACCAGCAGTGCCAGCAGCGATCGGGTGGCTTATGCCACGCCACATCGCCCATTAGACGAATTGACTTCACTGTTGCAAGGAGCCTTTTCCAAAGGTTTTGCTTTACACTAACACTCCCAGCCATCTGAAGGGTCGATCGTCCCTTTGCGCGCTGGTGATGTGCCCTTACGAAATTCCTGCCGTTACGAAGCGGCTACGTCTCCGAGGTCATGTCGGTCGCAAAACAATCAACCCCTGTGCAAAATGGCTCCAAACGTGAAGGTGAAGGTATAGAAAACTGCCGATTGAGCGTGAGGCTGGCAGCCGAAAGTCCTTTCTCCAGCTGCCAAGATGCCGCATGCAGGCACAGGCCAGATACTGCTAGCTATTCACTGCTCGCTAGGGCGCTCAATGTGTTTGCAGGCCAAAAACTGGGACTACCCTGCTTTTACTGATGCCAACACTGCGCGGACTCTTCAAGCAAGCTGCGTGTCCATACTTGTCATGATATAGCACATGTGCTGTGATCCCAAGATCTCAAGCAGGTTACATACCTCAAAGGTCAGAGTGCTTGACAGCCTTTCAGCCACGATCGTGAGACTTCCCAACGAGAGTCGGGCTCCCGGTTGCCACCTCTGCCCCCACTTTGGGCACTGCTACTATGGCCGTCGCAGACTCGATGCCTAAAAAAGGCTATCCATAGCGAGCAGAAGCAGAAGCAACTACATACACAGAGTGCAATACAGTTCATTGCATATCACACTAGAAATTCACAAAATTGAATTGTCTCTTGCTTGGGAGATGCCCCGAAAAGGGACAACGGAAGTGTTGAGCGTATTTCTCGATTCTTATGCTCGCAAAAACAACCGTGCATATTCGTTTGGATATGGATATGGGTATTTGCGTGTGTGTGTGTGTGTGTGTGCGTGTAAGTGTATGCGTATGCATATGTGTGTTATGTATACCTATCTGCTTATGTAATATGTATATGCGTACGCATGGATTTATGGACATGAACATATTCATACAGCACAGCTCTGATCTGTAAGTGCGCGGGCAGGCATGTGCAGGTACCATTGGGATCCATTAGTTGTGTCTGTCATTGACACACATGAACTGATGTATTATTTTCCAGGTATTGTGCTGTTTGTTTTGCAATGCACTTCTGATGTGGTTTGATGCAGATCCAACATTCTTCTTGCTAGTGTCTGCCCATTCTGGACAGAAACCTTCACAGAAACAACACTACGTTATCGCGTGATTGTTCATGCAGCGCCTGCTAACTTGTGCATGCGATGTACGAGCAACGCGACGTTTGAAAAGTTGGGCGATAAATTCTACCATGCGATGTTTAATGTCATGTAGTCGAAGAATCTGTCGAACACCAGCTTTCACTCAATTGCTTGTTTGCAACCACATAGACAAGGCGGTCACAGCGAGGCCATAACAGCTCGCTACGTGTTTCCAATGTAAAAGTGGCGATTCACAGATTCAGCAGGTCTCAGCCAACGGACCTGGACACAGGCGCAGATGGCCCGACGTCTGGCTCCACTCACATTGCAGCTAGTAGCTAGTAACTGTTCGTACGCCAGGCTTGCATTCAAGACCTATCTGCGGGGACCGAAATCAAACCGAGCATTAAACTCAGCGTTTCTCACGAGGGACCCCGGTAGCCCAGAATCTGAATCGCCGCAAGCCGGCCAACCGTCTGAACAATCTGCGTGGCGAAGGAAGCGGCAGAGCACACGCTCAAACTGAGGTCCGCGCGGCCACGGTGTAGGCTGAGCTCTTGTCAAAATATGACGAAGAAAAATAGAAACGCAGTGGAACCTGCAACGGCCAGCGCTTGCAAAGGCAGTTACTTGAAAGGACCTAGAGAACCCCAACAATCGAATGCTGGAGCCTTCGATGAGACGTCGAACCATTCCTGGAGACAAGCAAACAAAGTTTAACCTTCTTATTTCTAGCCGCTAGCCAAGCTCTGTTCTCAAAGCAAAGCTGATAAGTGGGATCGATCCAAGGTGACGCTGAATGAGAGATCGTGAACCTTCCGGGCATTTCGATGCACGGTAAGTTTGAGCAGTGACTTCGGTGCTTGTTCTCGAGTGATTGGGTTCTGGCACGTTCTGGCTACTCTGTCGGGCAAAGACTGTGAGCAGTCCAAAGAGAAGACGTAAGCCAAGGTGTCAAACATCAGCTTGCCATCCCTGACTCCGTAGAATCATCGTAGACCCCAAAACTACGCTCGCGCAGGCAAGTCCTCCGTGAGCATGTGCGTGTTCCGCAGCAGTGCCAGGCGACACCTATGGTGCGTTGCTACAGCCGGTTCAAAAAACGTTGTGTTGTCCAGCTGCCAAGCACCAAGCGGGCCAAGCCTCTACAAGTATCACATCTCCCAGTACCAAAATCGAGCGGCGTTCCATGGCCCGGCAATGCCACGGAGCTAAACTCTTGGGGTCTGGCCGTCGGATCCCGCACTTCGATGCCTCGCCGATGAGGAGCTCCAGGTCAAAGGTGACGGAGGTCAGAGTCCCTCCGAGGGACAAAGAGTTTTAGCGCCTTTTCTGGGGGCCCCCTTCGGGGACTAGCTCCGGGCCTCCGAGCTGTGCCGAGTGCTTCCCGTTCAAGTCCTGCGCCGAAAGCGGGCCCCGCTGTCTGCACCGGGACGAAGGGGGAGGGCGAAGTCGTCTACTACATGTAACGCATTCTGAACCCTGTCACATCCAAAGGATGGCCCGGAGGACCTGCTACAGAACTCAACTACACGGGCTTCCTGCTTCAGTCATGAAATTCGTGGAAAAGGCCCCGACACGTACTTAACAACGTTTATCAACTTTCACGATGATTGCATTTCAAGGTCTCAGGGGTGTGGGTGGCGTGTTGTGGCTATCTCCGAGTGGTCCGGGGAATGCGGCGCCCTGAATCGGTTGCCACTAAACCCTCAGCTCCTCAGCACCTGCGTGCTTTAAACACCATCCGAGTCTCGGTCGACACCTTCTATCACACCAACCTACTAACTCCTTATGGAGTTGTTGCGACGGTTCCAGGATCTTCTTGGAACTCCCACTAGTGACTCAGGGTCACCCGGGACTTGTGAGACTTCGGTGCGGCCGGAGAAGCAGCATAAACCGCTGGGCGCTGGAATGCTAGACTCGGAGATTTGGCCTGAATTTACCGAGTTGTTTAGTACGAAATCCTTCTCCAGCCCACTCCCCTGTGCAAACTCCGCAGACCGTGATCAGTTTTGACACGTCTGCCGAGTAACCGAGTGGTCTCTTCTCAAAACTATCGGCAATAATCGACCTTCGACTGCACCATTTCGACATGACACAACTGAATTGATTACAAAGGATACTGCGTGTCGCTTGTGCGTTAGATTCTGAGAAGTTCAGACCAGTGCCTCTAATTTATGTTGCTGGCCCCGACCCAGCCATGGGCTTCAACCTTCGCTGTTTCTGCTGCATTACCTGCCTTCGGATGCTTCGAGATCTGCCCTTCACGTTCCGCAACTGTGGCCAGGATGGATAAACCAGACATGCAATACACTCCACATCGCTGCTCGAACATGCCCCGCCCCTGAACCAGCATCTCCACTCTTCAACATTCTACAACCCCACCCTATCCGCGACTCCAGCGGCTGAAGCCCCCGGCGACAACGGCTCATGTCAGATCTTCGACACCAGCACCGAGAAGCGGGAGCGATTCTAGCTGTTTCCGCGTCATACAGACCTTTGCCAGGCTCATTGGGCTTGTAGGCTTCAGGGTTCGAAAAGTGACGTTTCGCCAGGATCGGGCCCTCGACTGTAGTCCTCATGGCTTCTGCATCACTTCCGCCGAGGAGCCGTGAAGTCTGAAAACTGCGAGTCGACGAGGCTCCCCTTGGCATGCAGCTCGAATCGTTAAAGGTTTTGCTGTCTCAGGTGCTGTGCTTCTGTTGATCAGTGCGGACGCACATTACCAAAAACGAAGAGTGGCGTTCAATGTCCACAGAATCGATGGAAAACATTCTCCGGTAAAATCACCAGCTGAAACGAGACTGCGACGGAGTGATGCCGACACACGATAGAGACGAGGACACTCAAACTGCGGACCAGCGGCAGGATCCCAGTCCACTGCTGGCGCAAGCTCACGGACCGATGGCTGGTCCTGCACAGGGAATACCGCCGATAAGATACGACCTGACCTGAGTTTGGTATGTAGGGTTTGCAGTTTCACGGTTCTTGTCTAGGGCCTGGGATTTGGTTTGGGGCTTATTGCTGGGGTTCAAACTGTGGCGTCTATTGCGTGTCTTGCGTAGGGTTTGCATGCTGCCGAGATTTCTGTGTAGGATTTGTTGGCGGGATCCTGATGGTTGCTGCTATTACGAACTCTTGAATACACACCCTGGGGCTTAGTGCCCAGGACCTACGATTGGATCTGTGCCAGGTCCTCATGCTGACATCCACCCATCCGCTGCTTCAGACCCACAGGCCTGCTTCTTGATCACACTGCAGTCCGACTCCATCTCCACCGAGCAAGCCATGCCAGTGATGAACCCCAACCTCGGGCTTGCCAGGGGACCAAGAACCCTGCTCTGCACCACAAAACCCTGGGGCCTAGTGACGCTTCCCCAACCCAGCTCCGATCCCCATCTCAGTTCTCAAATACAGAAAGCCTGCACATCCTGCACTAATCCAACCTTGGCTACAACAGAAACAGGTTCGTTCGTCAGCCTGCGAGTGAGTTCTGTCAACCACATCTAACAATTCCCCAACCTCCCCCACTTGCTGCTTCACCCGCTTGCGCGGACCGACATCGATATCACTGCTGTTGCTGTTGTCACCGCATGTGTGGACGATTGTCTCAAGGCATATGCCTGTTTGCATGCATACGACAAAAACATACAGCCTTGCATGGCTGGGATACCTTGGTTTGTGTTCAATCCTACTGTTGTTGCCGCGGCTGCTCCTGCCTCTCCTGCGATTGCTAGCAGTAGGCAGCAGAAGTGGCAGTGCACTGGCAGCTACATACGCACGCGCCTGCACAGAGACATACACACATAATCATGCATACACACATGCGCCCACATGTACAGAGGCAGCGAAACAGAGAGTTCCTCACCCAGGTATCTGTACTTTCTCTTTTATATTGACTCATGACTACACACACCTGTGCATCCACATGCCCGTTTGTTCAAAGCTGGGCTTTGCTGTTGCCTTCGAAACCTTAGTGACTGGTTTTCTGGTGTCGGCAATTTCTCGACAGTGAGAGAGTGAGAGAGAGAGAGAGACCGCGAGAGAGCTAGACATGTGATCTACTTACGTCTTCATACATTTACGATCTCTTCTTTCACCAAGAGTTGCTTGCTTGCATATCCTCTTTCTGGCATGATGAATACCAGATTCTCCAACCGAACTTAGGTGTAACTGCCGGGTCACTGGAGCGCTTCTGGCGCACTGCAGCGAATGTCGGGGTTCCGCCGCCTAGTTCCAAGGCTTGAAAATGTCCCATACTGGTGAGAGCTTGGAACTCAGGAGACCTAAAGCTCGGAGAGAGCAGCATCCTCTTCGGCCGCACTGCAGATTCAACTCGATAGTTGGCACAGCCCAGTTGTGACCGAGGAGCAGCAGCACGCGGCAGAAGCGCGCTGCGGGGCCGAGGAACTCGCCGACCTGCGTCGGGGCAAGCCCTGAGGGCCGCACAAGAGCAGAAGCCCTCATGCTAGCAAATTCAATGGAGTCCCCGATATGACACCCCAGGGTTGTCTCAAACCCGGAGCAGCCGCGGGCGTGCCTTCTGTCCTCCTGGCACCTGCACACACTCAGGAGGCTTATCTTGACGTTGAGCTGGACTGTGGCACATGAGAAGCCTAACTATGCAACCTTCACCAACGAAACAGAGCAGCATGAGCACCTGAGCACCATGTTGCTTCGCAAGTACGTCGTATGCCAAAGGCTCAAGACGTGTGGCTACATTCGACGGGATACTCGAGCGATGCGTCGGCTCAGGTAGGTCACGTCAGACAGCTCAGAGCCTGGCCTGGCAGTAGCGTGGCTCCGCATGTCCTAGAATGGCAGCCTTGATGGTGTCCTCACGCAGAGCGCAGGTCGGGGCTGTGGTGCGGAGATATGCGCTCCATGCCTCAGCCGCTGAGCCCTTCTGCCTAAGCGTCTACGCCGCTAATAAGACCTCAGACCTCCATCGGCCCTGCGAGGGCAAGCATCAAGCCATACACTTCAACTCGCAGCAGAAAGCGGATCCTTGTCTCTGACTCCAGGCGCGAAGGGAAACTCCTCAGTCCAGCTATGCGTCTAGAGCCTTTAAACATAAGATCCTCCATCCAAGTCCCCTGCCCGAGCTGGCAGTGCACGTGGCCAGCATGCAATTATCAACTCCGTTGCTCTTGCAGTGTCCGATAGCAGGCTTCCGGTCTCATGATATTGTGTGCAAGTTCGATACGGCTAAGGAAGCGAACTATATCAGAACTCCGTTCGAGGAATGCCGGACCCCTTCTCTCTGAGAGATTCTGAGAGCTGCCAGACAGAGCAGCGGAGCAGATTGCTTGGCCTCAAGGGCAACAAGAACCCAAGTGAGCAGGCAAGGCTCATTGAAGAGCAGGGCATAAGCCATGACGCCAAAGGACCACAGATCCGTCTTCTCTGTGTAGCCCACCTGAACAAAAGGGAAAGAAGCTTCGTCTATGCATCTATGCATACCGTACTCCGCCTCACTGCTTCGATAGCAAACGACAGAAAGCCTTCCTCATCTGCTCATGATGCTGAGCGCTCCAGGATGGGTTAGTGCAGCGCAAGACAACATGAACTCAAAGCCTTCCACACCATCGACACGGTTCCAACAGATTGCTAGTAGTGGTTTCAACTACCATGCTTGGCCACGCCGCCATGACGTCATATGATGATGTCATGACATGTTCTTGCAAGCGGCAAAATACGCTGGAGAGGTCCTACTCCTGTGCCTTGCCGTGCATCTCCGCAGATCTGTACTGCCAGGAGCCTACCTCCTGGTACAGCTTCCCACCCTGGGCGCAAAAGGCATTCCGAGCTAGGCAGCCCGCGGCCCTCCCCCGTCCCTTGCAGCTTAGGGCTTAGGGCTTAGGTCTTGTCTCTTCCTTCGAAGTTGAACCCAGGTGTCCAGGCCTGCGGAGCTGAGCAAGCATTGCTGAAGTCGGTCAATTTCCTGGGAGGAAGCTTCGCATGTCGTGAGGTCTTCAGTGTGGAATGTTCAGCTTCTAGGCTCTTAGACTCTCCCTGAGATGGTAGCCCATCTGCGTTTGTGCATTGTCACTACCGCACAGCTGTCGGACTCATAGGACTCAGCGGAGTCTCACAGGATCTTGGCCGAGCCACATTATGGTGTTGCCCTTGTCCCCTCCGCACATGAAGTTCGATGCCTGCCAAATGAGCACTTGCACTTCCTTCCGGCATTGATGCATTCAGGTTGGAAGCACGATTTTTGCTCAGGAACACTTCTGTCAAAAGGAACTATTCCCTTCCACACAACAGCAATGTCCTGCTTAGGGCCATCAAAACCATCTGCGCTTCTTACGGAGTAGAAACGAAGCATCCAAGAAAACCACACAGGGCGGGCCGCCGATGCGCTCGAGCCTTGATGTTGCGATGGACCACACCGGCTGAGTGTATCCACTCCACTGCACGAAGCATCCTGAACTCGCACTGAAGAGTGCGGCTTCGCGAATCTACAGCCTCTCGCTCGCAGCTGAGGAAAGGACTGTTCCCGGTTCTTACATTGAGACTTTGCCTAGTTGGCCCACCTTCTCACGCCACTGATCCATCAGGCACCATTGATTGATCGTATGAGCGAATTCCAGTTGTGTGATGAACCATCTTAGAATGATAGGTACGGAGTATCATCAGTCATCTCACAATCATCTTTATCAACAATGGTCTGTGATCAATCTGAGGGTCTGCTTGAACGCGGTACGCGACTTTTGCAGATTCCAGGTCGTGGATAACTGCCTCAGGGCAAGGGCATATGCAGCGTGCAATGGATATTTGTCTGAGAATCATGCCCCGGCCTCTCGCACTGCCGAATTCTGTACTCTCAGACGAGCCGTTCTCCCTCACCCTGAATAGAAACTCAGCACCCCAAGACCACGCAGCTCCGAAAGCTGCCACATGCTGGACGCCATGCTGTCTCCCAGGAACCTTCTGCCGTTCTGCTCTGTCTTCAGCCAAGACACAGCTTTCGCACAAAATTGCACTGGCACCTCGGCAACTTGCTCCTCCATTGCTGACAAGAACTCCGGTCAGACCTACGGAATTTGCATTCCATGGCAGACCCTCAGCAGGATGACCGGAAATCCTAGTGCAGCTTGGCCGCTTCTCCATCAAGAAGAACAGGCTGTTCCCTTCCGCCCGAATGGTGTACCACTGCACGATGTACCTCGAGTTTCTCCGTTTTCCAAAGCACGGCACACTCCCGGCTCGAGAGCTTCACCCTCTGCGGCATACTGCGGCCAGCACACTTGCTGTCCATCACGCTCCGCCATAGCTTCGCTTCTTGCATGAGATCCTGCAATGCACCGGCCAAGCAAAAGGCTTCGCAGATGCTCCTTGCTTTTCGATTAGTTCCTGCAGAGTGCAAGCCCTTGGGCTAAGCGAAATGTTGAGTTCAGGTTTTGGGGGCTTCCAAGACAGCAGCGTGCCAGTCCCCCCTGAAGCTTTTCTCAGCGCTCCTTCAGCGAGGACCCCGTGCGCGTGATGATTCTCAGGGCATAAGGTTCCTGGGAAGCGTTTCGCTGCTGATGAAAGCCGAATGAGCTCCACGAGAGCTGCTGGGTCAGCTAGCGACGGCTGGACGAACAGTTCAAACTGCCAATACGAGGCAGGGAAGACAGTACTTTTCGCACACCCTGAAACCTTTAGCGTGCATACATAAGTAGACTCCAGCAAATCCCAGATTTTGCAGCTTCGTCGCACGAGATGCCCGCTCCACAGCGGAATAAACATCACCAAATCTGCCCTGAGGATCATATCGAAATGCAAGGCCGGACTCACAGACGCTAGACTTGACACTAGACCTGTTGGGCTCAAAAGATCCTCAGACCACTTGTGAAGGCCTAAGCAGAAAGCCAAAAATAAGAGGATCTCACCGTTTGCGGGAAACCGGAGAGAGACTTGTCTCCAGGAATCTTGAGGCATTTGGGCGGTGGCCTTGCCAATGACCTCCTGCAGCTCGAAGGCATCGTGGAAGGGGCGGAAGCCCGAAGAGCCACAACCCATGCCAATGCAAAGCACGGCCAGATCGCTGCGTGGTGGAACGCGAGGTTTCACACCCAACACGTCCTGAAAACTGCAACACCCTCGACTGCTGCGAATTGTTTTCAAATCTTTGTTGGGGGCATAAACTCAATGTGCCGTGCTCTCAGCCGGCCCGTGGGCCACAGTCTGTCTGTTGCACCCGTCAGCTGCCTCGTCCCGGGGTGGATAAAACCAGCTGCATTTGGGAGCATACAGAGGTCTGTATTCTGGTATGTTGAACGCTGCGTAGAGTTTTAAGGCTGCTCGCTGCAAGCCGACTCAACGTTTAACCACCCGATTGCAGTGGCACCTTCAGTGCTGAGCCAGGAAGAACGGCGAGGGCGAGGGGCAGGCATGGAACTTCACATCTCTGGCATGGTCGACGGTCTTGGCCAAGAGATTCAATGCAAGAGGGACCTTACAGGACCTTGGCTACCATAGAAACGAATTTCTGAAACGCAACATGGCCGATACATACATATCCAGTATCATGACGTGCTACTCAGTCGCGAGTGATACCCGACACCCCACAGTCAAGACCAGACTCGACAAATTGCAAAAGGGCCTCTACCAGGTAGATGGCTTTCTTGTCACACTGGGAGATCCGGAAGCCGTGCCGCTGGTAACCGCTCGACCTGCTGCTGCATTACAGGAATCCCTGACCACCCAATTCCTCCGAATCCGCCAGCCCCTTCAAAACCCACTCAACCCGATGTCTGATCCCCGCAACCTTCTATCTCCCGGAGTGGGTCCGAGGCGGGCACACTCCGCAGATGACCTGATGGTCCACAAGCTCATGGTCGATCTTGTCCTGCATGAGATGCGTCCGATTTTCGACGGTTCTTAAACTTAGGCGCAGGATGTCGAAGAAGGAGCTGCAAAGGAAAAGCTTCGGAAGTGGCATACTGCAACGCTGGCCCTAGCTCACTGCGGCCATGGTACTCCCAATATCACAAAATCTGTCCGAAAACCCTATCTTTAGACAGTAAACCCGAAACTGTGCAGCAGAACGGTCCTGCGTCAAATTTCTGATGACCGCACCGCCCAGAAAAGACTGTTCGGAACCATCTGACCTTCAATAACGGCTAGGTCGGGAGGAGTCAGGACGCCTGCGGTTTCGAGTTTTTGAGTGAGGGATACGGGGTTGAGGGATTAGGTCGAGCAAACAACTGCATAATCGTGGGCATCATGACATTGGCGTCCGCAACAAACTGTAAGAACAAGTGAACAACAACAGCAACAACAACAACAACAACAACAACAACAACAACAACAACAATGACAACAATGATGATGATGATGGTGATGATGACGATGACGATGACGATGACGACGATGACGACGATGATGATGATGATGATGGTGATGATGATGATGATGATGATGATGATGATGGTGATGGTGATGGTGATGGTGATGATGGTGATGATGATCATCATCATCATCATCACCATCATCATCATCATCATCATCATCATCATCATCATGGCGATGATGTTGATGATGTGATGATGCGGAGAATGGATGCGTGTGCCGGAGCCTATCCATGCATGTAAACGCAGGCACGTGTGTCGGAGATCTGCAAATGGTGCCCTGAGGCTCGAGCATCGGTGCGATATCGAAGGTCTCAAAGGTGTCCACCGGTGGCCTCCGTACCTTTCGGTCCCATGCCGTGGCACCGGCACCAACCCAAGACTCTGCGAGCAGTCATGCACCAAGCTCCCGAAGACATGCCTGGAAGGACGGCGGCGGCGACGGGCTGCGCTCTGTGGGCTTTGCGGGACTGCACCTGAGGGGGCTCTGATCCTAGCCGATCTTTCGGACTTCGGGTTTGAGTTGATCAGTACCACACTGTCGAAGCATGGACGGGGAAATCTCAGACAGTACCGAGCACTGAGCACCCGGCTCGAAGGCCCTCTTCTGTAACGCGACGGCCTTTGGGGCTCTCAGGAGGCAGAAGACGCTCTTGGTTCAGACCATCAGGGCCTGTACTGTTTGGGGGCGATCTTCAAACCTCTGTCGTTCGAAGCTCTCAGCGCCGGGCCTGGCCCGGCCCTCCGCGCAGCAGCCGGCGCTCACGGTGAGACCTCGCGGAGGGGCTGCAGCCAGACATCGAAGTCTCGAGCATGAAGAAGGCAAAAAAGGCAGAAACAGGAAGACTCAGAACCTGAAAGGAAAGGGGATTAGTGCCCGCGTCAATCCTGCATCCTCTTTCGCCCTCGGATCCGGGGCAGATGCCAACAGTTGGATGTCAGCTTCACCCTGCACCGGTGCGCACCTGACAGAAATTGGACTCCGAATGAGTTGCACCCAAACAAGGGGCTCGCCGAACCGACAGCCTTCCCGTGCTCAAAAGGAGCCTCGTACGAAGACCCACACCAGTCTCTGGCCTGGGTAGGCCCACCCGGGCTCCTGCTGTAGGAAGTCTTTGGGGCCTCAGTCCGAAAGTACGCAGACATTTGCAGACACAAAAGGGTTGAAGCTGCTGACGGTCGCAGCAATACGAGCCTTGGAAGCCGACTCGAGCACCTCAGGAGCCCCATAAGGTCGCGACCCATCTGGTGGATGATTTCGACGGTGTTCCCATCTCTGCGCTCTGCAGACCTCAGTTGGAGAGGGCCTTCGACTGCCGGGCTGGACTACCATCTACAGGCTGCGAGATTCAGCCCCAACTTCAGCAGGCCTGAAGGACCCGCAATCCCAACGCTTAGTGCCTGTGGGGCAACCCAAGATCCCGACTCGGCAGGCCCAGTCCCTTGCGTGCCGGCACCCTGCGAGAGCGTGGGGTCTTGGAGACTTGGGGCCCAGGATAAGCGGCTAAATGCGCTGCTCGGCAGGAGCTTGCTTCCAGCTTGCTTTGAGAATCATTCAAGCTCTGAGAGGCTTGTGGAACTACCTAACCCCGAGAGCCAACTTGCCTCGTGCCGGTGGATCGTAAAGTTGGGGTCCCACACCGAGGCACCTGTACGAGGAACCTGCGCCAGGTCTGTAAGACAAGCACATATTTGCAGGACGGAGGGTTTGGGACTTTGCCACACAAGCTGAAGACATTGTGATGGCTTGCAACCCAGAAAAGGCACAAAGGGTCTACAAGTGGCGATGAAAACAAAGGTTTAGCCTCAATAGTCGAAATGAGCAGCGCTTGCTACCGAAAGAGTCCATGGGCAGCCAAAGCTCCGACCCTTAACGAGTGGTGGGTAGCACACCCTGCATGTATCTTGAGTATCCTTGCAATTCCGATGTTCAAGTCATCGGTGTCAGGCTACGCTCTAGCTGTCGTCCACGTCCTCTGCAAAAGACGAGGCATAGATAAAGTACTTCTAAAGGTCTGTCGAAGTCGATCATAGATCTTCACTCTTGCCGCTCGCCCTATAAGCGCTGCTCCAGGCTCATTTGCAGAAGGCCTTGTCGGAAAAGATGTCCCAGCCTGCGGGCTTTGATGCTAGCAACAACCAAACACCATGACAGAGGCGCCGGAAACGACCTGATGCGGCTTTCACGAGCCTTCAGATCTGACGCCCGATCCCTGCAAAAAGACGACGTGCCTAGAGCTCCCATCAGGGCCGCCATGTCCGAGACGCGGACCTGGAACCCGGGAGTCCCAATATGTTTCTATACAAAGGCAAGATCAGAAGGGAACCTCTAAGTACCGTCCACAATCGCATCGGAAGTTTGGGAAACAATTCAACTTTGGGTGTCCTTTCATGCACCTATCAATTCCTGGCGACTCCACTGGCACTTTGGCGCACTCTCCATTCCCAGCTTTGTTGGTGTCACGCGTCCGTCCTGAGAGCCGCACCCGCACACTGTCGCCCTTGCGGAACGAGCGCAGCAACCGAGTGACTTCCTGGTCGGCCCAGAGCTGAGACAAAAAGGATAGCTTAAGGGGCAAGGAACGTCTAACACCAAGTTAGCACGGTGAAATCATCCCACGATTTGAAGCAGTCATCCAGCTCTGAAGTTAAGGCTCCCGCACACAAAACCGAACTTGACAACATGGATTGGAGCGTTACTGCAGTTTGATGTGGAAAGCTTCGCCGCCAACTTCGAAAAAGCTTGGCACTAACAACAGTCTCAGGTGCCCTGCCAATGGGATAATAACAAACTTTGATTCGTTCTTGATCTGCAGGCATGCGCCCTAAGTGTGAATAGTACAAAAATAATATGACCACAGATGTCTCAGCTGCTATTGCTCGTGGGTGCGCAATGCGTCGAATTGATTCGCTCGCGGTACTGCTCCTCCTGCTCTTGACTCTCGACACAATAAGGTGCGAAAGGTTGCTTCATCTGTTCAACTGTCAGCAATACTGTACGATAGCGTCATGCCCAATATTCGCCACTTCTCACGGCGTCTGAGTATGGCAATACCTGTTGAATGCATTTGTTCCACTGACACCTTGCAGGCCACATTGCTATTGAAAGTGTAATCTTGTCATGCGTCAGTCATACTCGGATCTCTTGCAAAGGTTTGCAGCACTCCAACGAGTGGAAAAGCCACTCACAAGTACGACCATTTTTGAGCAAATAGATGCAACAGTCGCGACTGGTAACAGGCAAAATGCTATATGTACAACCCCCCTTCCGGTTGTACAACACATACGGAAAAATTAGTTTTCGCATGCAGGCCCACCTCCTGCTTCCGCTGCCGGCTGCCAATCCACTTGGCAATCAAGGTTAAAACCTGCGGTAGACATGTCTAATGAGGTCGCTGGTGAGCATGACGGGCTTAAGTTGACGGACTTAGCATGGTGAGTGGCGAACATGCCTCGGTAGCTTGCAGGTTGAAGTTTCGAGGCGGTTGTTTTAAGTTCCCTCCTTTTTCTGACTTTTGGTATGAGCCTTTGTTGCGCTTCAAAGGGGGCGGTGTCAAGCATGCAAACAGTTGTGTGCAACGGTGTCTTCTAGCAGCTATCCGTCAGAGTGCATTGGCACAGATGGCGGATTTGTCAGCGCGAAAGTTTACCAGGCCTATCCAGGCCTCGTGTGTTCATGCGCGACGCAATGGCATGCAATGGCGCTCCCTCTCAGGCCAGGCCTCCGCTTCAGAGGCGATGGGCAAGTTGTCCTTGCCGGAGCGACTCGAGAAAACTCAGAGCAAGGGATTCCGGTCCGCCCCCTCCCGTCCTGTCGTAGGATGCTCTCGACCAAGCCGATGGGCAGCCGCTCCCACCTGTTCTTCCCCACGTTGGTCAATGAAAAGAAGATGTGCTCATGCAACGACTCCAGACTCCAAATGCTGCACAACCAACAAACTCCAGGTCTTCTAGGCGCTTGGGTTCCTGAAGCCACAACAGCTTCAAGTTTGTTAAGCCCCCCCCCGCCGCAACAGTTTGGCAGACCTTGGGTCGTCGGTGATGGCGCACAAATTTCTGCGCAGGAGCATCGCATTCATCAGCTGGTCCTGACGACGACACATAGAGCGGCAAAGCCTTTTCGAGTTCGTAGGAGTGCAGTTATGCGGCTGAATTTCTGAGGCCGGAATAGACCTCACCTTGCACTTAAACTACGATTACCCAAAGCGGCACATAGGCCAGATGGTCCGGCTTGACTGCACATCACACATGTTGTGTTCGACTCCTTTGTTCGTCACGCGCAAGTGGTGGGGCGAGTGGTACAAACGCAACCATTTCCTGCCTGGCTACTCCGCCTTTAGGCACCTGCAGGAAGTCCCGGTGTCGAGAGCATAAAACGAGAATAGCTAAACACCTTTCGAGAGAGCCATCTCTGAGCACACCTGATCGAGTGCTGGGTCCACTTCTTCCTTGCTCCGAAGTCAAAAGGCTGAGCAAGGAATATCCAACAGCTTTGGCGCAAGCCGATGAAGTAGACTCTGTGAACCCAGAAAGCAAGTGGACGCAGCACCTACACACCTACCTCAGCCCGGGTCCAACCTCAGCAAGAGTCTCGCAAAAGGGGCAACCCAGTTATCTTTGGAGTACATTCGTTGGAGATGCCAGGCGCCAAAGGGTTCCTTGTTGAGGGCATGGAGCCCAGAAGAGGCTGAACACCGGAGCCCGGACGCCCAAGGAGCTTCGGGTGAACAGCCGGCCTGGGTTCTGCAGGCCAGGTCCGAGCCGACTCTGCAAATCGAATCTTCCCTCTTTCGACACAACTTGGTCATCTAAGCCGCGCGGGAAAACGGCCTTTGCGAAGACTGCGCGTGAGAAGAGTGAGGTCTCGAAGCAAGTTCTCTCTGGCCCTATGACTCTGGGTTCGGAACAGCGGCCGAAAACAGCTCTGTTGCCGAGTATGTTCGAAGATCTTGCTTCGAGACGAATCTGTGGGTCCCGGAGCTCGCGCTGAAGCTCGGGGAGCCCCTTTGCACACGACCTAAGGGAGCTTCAACTTAATCCCAAAGATATTTTTTAAGTCCCAAAAACATTTAGAAGCGGACTCCCATCCCTAGTGACGGCATCGAGCTGCTCCCTCGGTCTCGAAGGCAGGAGGCGACTCTGGCAAAGGCTAAGGAAAAGCTCAGAGGGCCAAGAGTTCCGACTGCTGTTGGGCTTCGGGCCAGTCGCCCAAGAAGCCTTCAAAGTTATATATCCCAGCCCGATGGTTTTTCCGAAGATCCCATACCAGGGTTGCTTCCCGCTCCGTGTGACGCTGACGCTCCCAGCATGCGACCTGCTTTTTTCTGCAGACTGTGGCGCAGCTCAGTCGCCCCAAGCTCGAAGAGCCTTTGCCCAATGGCTGTTAGCAGAAGTGGCGCAAACCGTATATAGCCCCATTCAAGCAGATAGTCACATAGTCTTGCGGACGGCGTCTCTCAGGCCTCGGCTCACTTGCCCGGAGGACCTCTGCCTCCAGGAACAATCTCAAGGCAAACCACCTCGGTCAGAGTTCAGGCAGCCTGACCATCTGAGCGCTCATACCCAGAAGAACCAAGCTTTTCTAAGGGTTGTGATATAGTCGCTTCGGTTCATACCAACAACCTACCGCCGTGTGCTCCGATCTTAACTTCAGCCCTGCGTTCAGGGCACATGCAAGGCTTAAGGCTTAAGAGTCAATGCTGCGGCAATGTGCGACTCAGTAGCGAATGTCTGGGATGCCTCATCCAGGACTTCCTCATGCTGTTGGAAGGGAAAGTGGCTTGAGGGCTGCGGCATTCAAGCGGTCACAGCAAAGCGGTAGCTTCGGGTAATTGAGCTTGAGATGTCTGTACCAAAAATGTGAAAACGGAAAGCCACAAACAAAGAATCGCTCATCGCCAAGTCCGTCAGCTTCTCGAGCAGGACGGGGAAGTCCGACAATGATTTGCAGGTGCAGGCGGATCTCTGGGTGGGGGATGTTTGGAGCGTTCTCGTCAACCCTGGGCCCAAAACGGTCCTGGAACCACAGTACCAAGCTCAAAACTTGCTGATGCTGAGATGCTGTGAAGTCCCAGATGTGCTCGTCCTTCGTGCGTCCCTCCTGATTTCAGGGCTTTGGTGTGGCTCGAGTGCTTTCTTGTTCCAAGGCATCTCCACCAGGTAAGGTGCAAGGCTTTGGGAGGCACTAGGGCCGTTCCAGGCAATACTCCGACAACATTCGCGATACCCTCGTTTCAGGTCCGATTGCGAGGAACCCACTCTTTAGGACATCCTCGAGGCCGGTGACGGCGCTTTGGGAGAAGTTGTGGTAGCGAGGTCCCCGAGGACCAACCTTACTGTAACAAGGTCCACATGTTGCAAAGGGCCGGAGTCGGAGCATGCTTTGCTTGAAAGCTGTCACCATGAAACACATTGAAGCTTCGGCAACTTAAGGGAGAGCACACAAGAATCAACCCATGCAGCCGACAAGTTTATGACTTCGAAAGCTACATGCGCTGGATGTCGATAGGGCAAGCGGCGGTCTTATTGCCGCTGCCAATGGAGATCCGGAAGGAGACCCACCTGCAATGCAAGAGCGGCAGAAGCAAAGCTGGAAATCTCGGAAATCGAAGTCAGAAGCAGCAGTGCAGCAGCAAAGCAGCAGCAAACCCTTTGAGGTTTGCAAGCGGCCCGAGCTCGGAAGCTGCTGCCGAGGGGCGCGACAGACTCCTCCAGCTCCGCCTCGCACTTGATCTGCACGTAGCCTCAGCAAAGCAGAAGCAGTGCTGCCCCGGCCCTGTGCTGCCCCGCTTCAGCGCTCTCCCCGTTTCCGTATTGCAACGAAGCGTCCTCTGCCTTTCGACTTCCTGGCGGGTCTCCGTGGGGTTGCACGGTTCCAACCATGACATGTCCTACTCCACGAATCCCGATCAGTGCAGATTCGAAACTGCTCTAGCGTTGCGGTTGAAGCTACAGTGCTTACACGTTGACAGGGAAGCTGACTTCGGAGAGCGTTCAAGTGCACCGGAGCGCGGATCGCCGCGGCCTGAAGCAGCAGCCGCCCTTGCCTTCGTTGAGCATCTCCGGGTAGATCATCATCTTGAACCTTACTCTTGCTTTCAGCATTGTAGTGACAGGACAAATTCTGAGTGATGTAGGCTCTTCCACCAAACACGAAGAATCCCATCAAATTCGCGCTGAAGTATCCCAAGCTTCCAAGATTCGTGCCTCCTCAAGATACTATCACCAAGCTTCTGAAACAAAGACCTTCAATACTATTCAGCCCCAACCTCTCTGCAGCTCATGTGACGTGACTGCCGGATACTTGGGTCCGAAAGAAAGCTCAAACGGCGGCGAGACCTCAGTCTGCACAGCAAGTTTCAGCCCTGATCTGCCTTTCCTGGGAGTGAACAGACTTCGCCATCGCGGCAGCGCCTGGATCTGCCGAGCTGCCGTTTGCTTCTCGTTGCCCCTCAGCTTTCGCCCGTCCACGGTCCAGTGCCTCAGCGAGTGCCACATATACAGATAGACTGAGATATTTTTGTATATATAATATATTTATTTATTTATGTATTTATTTACACATATGCTCATTTATTTCTTGATTTACGAACGTTACTCTGCCCAAACCAACTCTCGCGGGTTCGCACAGGCTGCATTCCAGAACCCTTCTCCCATGTCAACCCGTCAACATCTGCAGAATGGCTTTCGATATGAAATCCAAAAAACAGAAGCATGAGGGCGTGCTTGAAATGTTCACATGCAGCCGCGTCAAGTCCGAATGTTCCACTTCTGGCACGTCAGCGTTGCATGAACCCTTCAGCCTCAATGAACCCCTTTAGCTCCGACACCCCAAATCCCCGAACTCTGCCGATATTGGAAAAAACCTGGCATTTTGAAGAAGGCACACGCGGAAGAAGCCGCTCTTCACACCTGGGCCAACGGAAACATTCAAATCCAAGAATCTGACTCACGTTACACGACGGTGGAGCTCTGATCCCCGACAGCCCGAAGCCACGATCCAGCCGAGTAGCTGAAAGCCCTGGTGAGAGTCTGCGGCTGGGGTGGCGCTGTGGAGTCGCGGCCTCTGCAGGAGCTTTGCCGGCTGGTCGGCTTCGATGTCTTATGGCACTTCCAAAGTGGCTTGTCTGCTGCGACACAAACCTTATTTCATGATCAACACATTAGTCACCACATATCCTACAGTAAAGCCCGTGACAGTGTCCGTTCCTGCCTGAGCTGGACACCGCCATCGCCGAGTTGGGTGCCGACGATCCGTCGGTGACCTGAGCTTCGCAGGCACCGGACTCCGGCGTCGCCGCGGGACTCGAAAAAAATCCTGACATCTCTAGCCACGTCGCGATGACGCTGTTTTGTGCATTCTGCGGCATTGGGCCCACAGGAAGAGGTCCAACCCCGGCTACCGGCCACCTGCATGGCACTTCGAGTGGAAGCATCTGGGCCATTTGTGGTTTCGGCTTCCTTGAATCCAACCCCGCGTCTGAGAGGCACCTCGCCCCCCGATCGGGCTGGCGGACGGGCAGCTCGGGCAGCGGGGCCCCGTAGCCCCCTCCGGGGGCAACGGGGCCACTGGGTCCCGCACCTGCGGCTTGGGGAGGTGCAAGGCGGAAAAGCCCGGATTGCCCGCTTCAGCTTCCATCCCTTTGCAGCTGGACTTAATGTTAAGGGAACTACAGCACCCTCTCCAGAATCTTGCGTCTTGACAGCGATACTGCTTGAATGGCAGAGCAGGTGCCTCCACCGGCATTCATTGGTGCCGTTGGTGCAGGTGCTGGTGCCATTGCGACAGGCATGAAAACCATCCTGCAGCCACGTTTATCCCAGAGCCTCGTGTATTGAACTTTCCAATTTCCAAGTTGTAGCACACCCGAATTTGCCACGAGCAATGGAAGGCCGGTCCAACAGTTCCTAAAGCCAGGAACAAAGGTGTGACAGAGCCCTCCTTTCGGCGTAGTTTGTCAGTGGAAAACACAAGCAGGAAGGTGTTGCGGCCATGACACGTCTGCATTGGCATCTGCTGCTGCGGCATCTGCTGAGGCTGCATCTGCTGCTGCGGCATCTGCTGGGGCATCTGCTGTGGCATCTGCTGACCTGATCTGCCCATACATGAGCGTGCTTCTTTTCACACCGATTGCTAGTGCTTTTCACGCCCTGCGACGGTGGCTCTGCCGCAGTCTGAGGCCGGCTCCCTGCGGCATCGGCATCTGCGGCTGGGGCATCTGTGGCATCGGCTGTGGCTCCGCTGCCTACAGAAACGACGTGAAACTACGACCCTCGCCGCCTTGCAGTATCTACCGAGTCGGCCTGCACCGGCTGGTAAGGCACCGGATTCGGCGCCGACACCGGGCCTTGCTTTGGCAACTCCAAAAACGGAAACACACAGCTCCGCTTGACATGCATGCTTCTGTTGTTTGGACTCTTGAGGTTCTGAGGAGACCACCAGACGCGGGCGCGGCACTTGGAGCGGAGCCGGCCTTTCTTTCCAGATCTTCCCAGAAAGCTGAACTGCACGGGGAAGATCTTGTGCATCCGGCAGTACTTAGAAGGCCCTGCAAACCCGTGCCGTGTGCCTGGCCGCGGACGAGGTGCCCTGCATGCAGCACGGGGATACAAACGGATCCCTCTCCTCGCCCACCTGGAGCCCGCGCCTGCGTCTTCGCCGACCCAGCCCCACTGAACAGGCTCCTTGCCAGGAGGGTTTGGCAGCGGCATAGAGGGTGGAGAAGCATGGAGATACCTACTAGTCTCTGCATCATGTTCCGTCGCACATCCAGTCCCCGGTCCTCGAGCCATTCGTGGGTAACCTGCAAATGAACTGCGGAGTCCCTATCCCAGCTCAGGGCAATGGGGCAGTCTTGTCGGCTCGCCCTGTAAATCCTTTGCTGCCAGAAAGCCGTTCTACAGATTTGATCGTCTTTCTCATCGATGAGGTCATCTGAGCCCGGCGAGATCGGTGAGGCCTCGGTCCCGGCCAGATGCCGGATCTGCAGGGTCCGCGGCTCTCTGCAAGCACCTCCACCAAGGCTGCCTGGGAGCCCCGACGCCTGCGACTTCGCCGTAGGGGCTGGCCTCTGCAACGGCATGCCCCACATCCCCACAGAACAGAGCTTCCCTCTCAAAAAAACCAGCCTCCTGCTCTTCTTCCTCCTCTTCCTCCTCGGAGTCAAGGTCCTGCAGTGATCAGTCTTCGGCCAGTCGGGCTTATAGGGACAAAGGCAGCGAAGAGCAGACCTCCGCCAGCCGCAAGAAAGCAGGCACGCATAAAGACTGCAGCCTTGTAGCCCCGGGCCCAAGGTCCTCTGCCCAGGGACCGCCGCTTCCCGGCGGAGCCGTCTTCGACCGCACGATCTCGCCTGCGGGGTCGGGCGCGTCCTCGATGTCCAGGAAAGTGTTTCGTACCTGGGCTGAAAGGGAAATCTGACCTCCAATAGCATCAAGGCCATCAGTGACAATGTCGATCTACTGCAGCAACCATCCGCCCAAGAGCTACTCATTTCGGGCCAGAACTCCTTTTTACCTTTGAAAGCCTTCACATCTAAAAACTCCCGCGCTGGAGCCAAGATGTTCGATCCAAGTTCCGAAACCCTAAATCCTACACGAAGGCTCTGAAGCCCTGGACAAGTCTTGGGGTCCGACCAGAACCATTGGACCACCACCCTGACCGCTCAGAGGGTTGCAGCTTGGATTCTTGAAAGAGGTCACTGGCACACATTTAAGACTAGGAGGACGAGGCGGCTCCATCTGGCCTCGAATTGGGGTGGCTTCATGTCGCTCGCCATGATGAGGTCCCCTCCACGCGCCAAGGTGCACGGAGGGGTCTCTTTGCTGTGGCGCTTGAGCCGGACGCAGTTTGGCCAACGATGGTCAACGAATCGAAGCCACATGTGTTGTGAGCAGTGAAACTGCTGATGCGACAACTTAGATGAAAACTTCTCGGGAGGCCTTGGCTCGCACGGATACTACAGCTGCCAGCCTTGAGTTTGTCTTGGTACGTGGAGTTGAAGGTTGTGATGTCATAGAAGGTGAAAAACATGTCCTGGCGATGACAGCATGGGGCACATCCGTTAAAGCAGAGCAGGCAGTGCCGCAGAACTGAAAACTGTTGCCTCCGATGACGACTGCCAATTGCACATGGCGGACAATTCCGCGGTGACCCCCGAGTCAGAAAAAGGAGTCGAAAACGGTAGAGACCAATTCAGAAAATCTAGGGGACCGAGTCAGAAAGTGGAGAGGCCTGAGTCGGAAAACGAGGGCTGCACGAGTCGGAGAGCAGGGCTAGCGAGTCAGAAAACAACACAAAGGCCCTAAACCCTAAACCCAAAACCCTAAACCCTAAACCCCTAAACCCTAAACCCTGGAGGGTGTGTCGGCAGATGTTTTCGACTCAGGGTCTCCCTGGTTTTCGACACGAGGCCGTGGCGTTTTCGACTCGGCGGGCTCGACTCGAAAGCAGGTTTGCTGACTTGACAATCACTCATTAATTGCTAATGATGGCGCAGACAGCATCCAATTACTCAACGTGCGCGACGAAGTCATACGGCTTTCTGCCACCAAGACACTGCATCAAAGTTGTCCTGCATGGGCAGCTGCATGGGAATACATGAGTCCAAAGCCCAAGCCGTGCCAGAGGGCCAGGCTCGCTGGTCTTTCAGCACCAGTGTCCTTGACATACTTGAGACACAGATCCACAACCTCATCTATGCAGTACCTCAGACAGCACGTGAAGGCAAGCCAGTTGGCCAAGCGGAGTATATCCAAGAGCTGCTATGAGCACAACTGGCACTTGCGAAACAAAGGCTTTGTCTACTGCCTAGGGCCCAGAGCGTGCAATGGATCCAAGTTCGCAGCTTGTCTGCCAAAGTCAGGAGGCCTCGGGCGGAAAGGTCAGATTGTTCTGGGATACCGCCCTGCCGGGTTGGATATGTTACCTTAGCACATTGACTGGAATCCTCTCAGTACCGCCGTCCACGGTTCAGGCCTCTGGAACTGGAAGCTTGAGGCTTGGAGCTCGGATCTCCAGATTTTGAGCAGAAGACCAAGGACCGTGTGCTCGTTGATGTCAACTTGGTTCCTGGCATGCGACGGACTTCTTGCATGGTGAACTGTGATCGAAGGCAACCTCGAAAACCTCGGATAGCCTATCTGGCAGCTACCAGACAACCCAACTGGAATGCATGGCATTTAACAGGCCGGAGTATCGTGTAGATGAACCGCAGCAGCTCGACGAACTGAGTCAAAGTTGCGAGTTGCAAATGGTCACCATCAAAGACAACGTTGTCAAGTGACCTGTGACCACCGGTTTCCTTGCAGAGAGTTTGACTAACACTATTCTATGCAACCAACGGCTAGAAACACTTCGACGAAAGACCACACCTGTCTTCGCTTAGATGCCGGCCTCGGTGCGCGGTTCCGAGATCAAAGCCTGCAATAGGAGTGCGGAGGGAGCAATGAAGGATTTGGCTTATTCCCTCTGCCCGCAAAAGCGCCTCACGTGACCCCGACTTACTCACAGGAAATCACGCATGAAGCGAGGGGCAGGATCACAAGGTTACGATTTCGCAGAAGTCACTTGTGAAAACACTCAATAGTTCGGCTTCTCCGCGACTACTCCGATGCCGCGACGACCTCGCCTCGCGAGTGATGCCTTCTCGCAAGGGTGTCTCTGAGCCTGGAGCTTTCGAGGCAAAGAGAGGAAGGCATCGTGGCAGTGCCAGGGAGTCTTTAGGGTGCAGGCAGCCGAGCCCTTCAAAATGAACTCAGTGCGGGGCCAAGCATCTTGTAGAAGTAGGACTGCTGCCTGTGCTTGGGATCTTCTAAACGCGTTGAACTTGGGATGAGGTCGAACAAGACTCAGAGTCAGGGCTTCTGCTCCTGCTGAGCCTTGCCTCAAGCCTGCGCAGCGCAAGAAGGCTGAGTGCACCGCGTGAGGATCAGCGAGTGACAGCAGAGGTGGAGGGCATCTGGCTCGGACCATGGTGAAGCAGCTGAAGCAGCCCCCTAATCAAGACTTCACCGGAGAATTCTGCGAGGATTTAAAGGAATCAACCCACAATATAGGACTTCTGCCTGAAGACTAGGGATTCGCAGCAGTTAGGACTAGGAGAGGCTTCAGGCCTTCGGCCCCCATGGGATCTCTGGCATCTCGTGGATCAGTGATGACCAGGCGCGTGTCCCCGGAACCTGTGCAAGACTATAAAAGAACTACATCTTCAAACGCCATGTCTTATGGTGAGCCAACGAACGAAGGAACCAGCAGCCGAAGGAGCTGAGTGCATCACAGCTAGAATCCAATACATCAATCGTTTCAAGCTCGGGATGGGCCTGGGATCCTTTCACACACCCTGTGCCTGCGTGAGTTCGAGTACATTTTACTAGGGCACTTGTTGCCATCTGCGGCAACCGCCTCCGCTTGGCCCCACGTCGTGCAATCAAACCGTCACTCGGATGCTTGGCATTCCCTGAAACGTGCGACCTCCAGATTGGAAGATTTCCTCGAACAACTTCGCCATGACTGCCACTGAAGGACCGCACTGGGGGTTTGAAAACTGCTGCGTGCTGGCTTCTGGGCAGCTCCGTTTTGTGATGGTTCTGAGTGGGGCTGAGGCTCAGGGTTGAACGGCGAGTTCAAGACGCTTTTGCCTTTGCTTGAATTTCTGTGAGCGCTGGAAGCTGTTAAATCCATGGGGAAGCTAGAAGCAGCTAGGAGGAAGGCAGGAAGGGTCCGGTTGCAGATGTTGTGACTATATGAAACGAGACGTGTCTTCCACTCACAGGCAGTGAGCCGACTTCGACGGGAGCATGGGTGAACCAAGCATGAGGCTGCAGGCAGAGGATGTACGGGTGGACTCGAACAGCATCTTTTCCGGCACAGATCACCAACCGGAGCATCTCTGCTTTGCAGAGGCTGCTAAATCCTGCTTTCCGGTCCACGGTCTTCGCGGGCACATTTGTGCCGCTGCGACCCACGACCCTGAGCAACTTTAACTCAGCAATGAGCGAGCATTGTGCAGTCCTCTCTTGAGGCCAGGAAGCTGCTGACCTCGAGTGCTTGACCATCTCTTCAAGTTGCACGGTGGGCCACAACGAGTCGCGAACCTGCAAACACTACTTTCACTACTGCCTGTGCCCAAGCCCTGTGGCCTCTGGCGTGTTTATGGTTGAATCTTTGGAACCCGCATGCAGCTTTGCCCCAAACATATATCAGCGGGATAGGGAGACCGAGACCGATACAAGAAAGCGCAGAGGCTCGCCACTCGTCCGGGCTTTCAGCCCTGGCTGCAGGTCAGCAACGCCGGCATCACCATTAACGAGTGGGTGGAGTAGGAATAAGAGCAGGAGGAGGAGTAGGAGTAGCAGTAGGAGTAGCAGTAGGAGTAGCAGAAGTAGAAGCAGTACGAGTAGGAGTCGGAGGAGTGAAAGTGGTAGGACTGGCGGGGTAGTAAGAGTAGAAGTGGTGGTAGCAGTAGCACAAGTCGCAGATCTAGTTGTCATCGTCGTCGCCGCCGCCGGGGTCGTGGTCGTCGATGCCGTCGTAGTAATACCAGCAGCAGCAGAGGTTTTTTTAAGGCTGCCATGCGCTCCCGACTGTACATTGCAAGTAGCGGATTAACTCTGGCTGGCGAGTCGGCGCAGCTACCAGGTGCGATTTAGCAGCAGAGGTTAGTAGTAGTAATAGTAGTAGTAGTAGTAGTAGTAGTAGTAGTAGTTGCAGTTGTTGTTGTGGGGTGGTAGTAGTGGCTCTAAGCTTGCGTCGATCTCGCCCGAGACCAAGAATGGAAACCCATGACAACAAGTACTCGCTGCTACTGCTATGCCCTACGTCACCCGAGCTGGGGCACCCTCTACGGCCTTGCCCGCGTTATGCCCTTTCCGAATCTGTTCCAGACCCTCAATGCCAGGCGGACACTGGAGGATGCTGCACCCACGGCATTGGAGCCGACCTACAGGTCAGAACGACTGCAGGCTCGTCTCGGACTTTCGCGAAAGCACAAGCAGGCTCTGGAGAAGGAGATAAGGAGAGAGAGGGAGACGGACGGACAGACGGACGGACGGACGGACGGACCGACAGGCAGACAGACGGACAGACAGACAGACAGACAGACAGACAAAAGCTAGTTGTCAGGAAACGGTGGCGAAAAGAGCTGGACGAAGCCTGCGAGAGTGTTCCTTGCTTGCGCATCCGCTCCAGCTTGATCTGCGCAGGGCTCTTCTTCTCCTTGCGCAAATTGAATCGGCCGGTCGCTGGCAGCTTTTGCTAGTGTTCACAATCTTCTCCCCAACCCCGCTGTACGGAAACAGAAAGCTCCGTGCAAAATGGAACAATTTGTTCCAAAGAAGGCCGCAAAAACTCGTGACGGATCAATGACTAAGGTTCGAAAGGTATCGGCCAAAATCTAATGCTGTTGCAGGCCTGGAAACTTGTGTCTTAGTTAAAACTTCATCAACCGCAACACCCGATACTCCCAACGCACCGGTGTCGACGTCTCTCTTCTACTGGTACGTTAATCGCAGACCAGTTTGGTAAGTCAACATGCCACGGTGTCCTCGGCCTTCTTGAGAGGCGTCGGGGTGAAATACGCTGCTTCAAACCTGGAGTCTGGCACTCTTGAGCCTCGGGCTCCAAAATTGTCGTCTGAGGCCACAGACTTGTCGGTTGGCCTCTTGTAGGCGGGGTGGTACGCAAAGGTGTCCTCCTTCTCCCTTGGAGGTCAGTTTCACGGACTTGAGACGACATGGCGCTTTTGCTGAGATCTCTACGCCAAGCCATACTCGCAAGGTCGGATGAGGTTTCTGGCTGGGGGTGCCACAGAATGCCAATGGCCTCCTTGTGCTTGGTCCGCACCTCAGAGTGCATTGCAATCAAAGCTCAGCTCATGGAAGTTTTGGTACCTAACCCGTCGTTGCAAGCAGTTCAACTCAGCTACTGACCATCTTGTATGTTTCATCCGAGCTGTCGATCAACTTGCTGTACTCCTTCAAGCATCAGAACCATAAAGAGCACCACCATCTCTATGACCGTCAACCACCGGTGTCACAGTGTTCGTCTTCCTTGCTGGCATCGGGATGGTTTAGGACAACTTGCATCGCTCTTCGTCCAGGGTTTCTGGCTTCGGAGGCTCTCTTCGGACTGGAAGCCGTAAACGCTGAGCTACAATTCTTGGGCTCGATGTTTCCCGACCAGTGTCCTTGTCAAAGGTCATGGAGCCGGCCTCTTAGGCACAAGTTGGAAACATGCACTGTGCGAAAGGACTCGCATGCGGCAATTGTGAATGCTCTGGGATGGGCTGCAGTTCTTGGAGTTTGCACCACATCCATCTGCCTCGTAGCCTTCGACCAGCGCCGCCGCCCGGTCTCTGGCCTTAACTGAGATGTTGCGGCCAAGGGTGCAGCATTCTGCACAGGATGTCCCGTGTTTTGAAGGTTAGCAAGCAGATATAGATTGAGAACTGCGGCAAATTTCAGGACATGACACCGAAGAAGCAGCTCCGCTATTTTGTGCCGTGAGACAGCCAGTGACAAGCGTCACATTCTGATGCTGGTGATGGGAGCGCTTGGACTAGGCAAGAAAACTGCGTCTTAAGAAAACACTCCAGAAGATACCAACTTCTGGCTTCAGGTAATTTATCCGAACGGCGGGAAAGGGCGAAAGACAGCTCAGTGCAGAGCCTTCTTAATTTCGGCATGCTCCTGTCCAAGAAAGCACGCGGTGGTGACATGAAAGCATTGAAATAGAAATGCAACAAGTATGCCGCTTAGCTTGGACTCCGATGTTCTGCACAACCATTCGCATGAGGTCTCGAAGGTGCTTTGGAAATGATAATCAGCAGACGGAAAAGCGACACGGAAAAGCGACAGCCTAGCCAAGAAGAGGTGGTTGTTGGAATAAACATGATTCTGCAGCGGGTTCAGGCCGAGCCCATGCCACAATCATTTTCTTTCTGGCAACGATGCGGGTTCAGGGCGTGCCGAGACAAACTGAACTACTAAATGCAACGAAGTGTTGCAAATCTGTGGGACGGCTTGCGCTCCTGCTGCAATCGCTTCAGATGTCGGCGCAACTCCTCGGCACCTCTCTCGTCGTCCTCGGGATACACCCTACGATACCTAGCCATGCATTTTCTGGACTCATTTGCTGGACTCAGGCTACAGGTTCCCCTTGCCTGCCCTGTCCCCAAACAGATACTGCAAGCCGCATCCCTCCATGCTTGTTAGAGTATGTGGCCTTCACCTCATCATCTAGCTCCTTGAGCTTCATCTGCAGAGTGGCCAGCAAGTGACCTCCACGTCAAATTCTCGCCAACCACAACCGTAAACCAATCGCTTGGCACCCTCACGAAATAGCTCGAAGGTTTACCCGAGTGTCGATGCCACTTGCTACGAGCATCCCTTCCACAGTTCTGGGCACCTGTGGTTTCTGTCTGCAGATCTGCCGCGCTCTGCGGCAGCGGTCCTCGATGCAGGACACAGCTGGCATTATCGCTGGGACATAGACCGCAGAGCTCTGCGCATGTTGTCTTCCAGGCGGTGTTTGCGCTGTTGCTTATGCTCGCCAATGCTATAGCCTCATTTTTAGCTTGAAGGATCCGAATCGGTCCTTTGGCTCGAGCCGCCAGATGCCCTGCAGCTCGCGCGCCTTCCGCCTCTGCAGCCGCACGGTTGGCGGTGCGACTGGCCTGGCAAAACTTGTCTGCGACTCGACGTCTGTGAACACCCAAAGCGGCTTGTACTCTTCTGCAGCCGGGAGGCAGCCCGTGCCTTGGCTTCCTCTAAAGAGCTGCCTGCAGACGGGATTGCAAAGTCTTCGAAAGTTTGCCCTGACTGTTTCTGTGACTGCGGTGTTCGAGACATACAGCTCGGTCTTCCCGGTTCCCTCATACATGTACACAATCGTCTTAGCAGATGCCTGTGGCCTTGGGAGATGGCTAGAGCAGGCCATTGCAACCGCACAGAATGCTGGCAAAAACCTCCGAAAGACGGATGTCCGAAAGCTATCGAATGCTTTAACCTGCACCGATGGCCTGTCCTTCGCAAAAACCGAGCAGTGCAGGCCTTTAGAGGTGCCGCCCAGCCGAGCTTGTGCGGCCTTTGGAGCTTGGTGACAGGACACTATCGTTTCTGCACTTGTGGAGCGCTTGAAGCTGTCTGTGTTATGAGCTGTGGGCAGCTGTGTCTAAGGTGATGACACGTGTCGTCTCAACAGTGCATGTGCATGAAAGTACAACCAACCTGTGCTCGAAGGACCTGCACTCCATTTCACTCAGGCTTCAATCGGAAATTGCCTGCCAATCTCTCCCGCAAATATCAACGATATTAAATGCTTTTAGATCAACAGCGGCTGGGACGTGAGCCATGCTGCAGACCCGCAGGGCAGCCCCAGTGAAACGAAGGATTCGAGCACTCGCAGATGTCCGCAAGGATGCAAGTTCGTTTGTGGAACCACCGCACAACCAAGCCCGATGACAACTGTCTGGCTTCCTCACTGCGCAATCCTGTACCTGGTGAACCATGCCTTGGTGTCTCTGTTGGTGATGCTTGCTCTTGCTCCTGCTGATGCTGCCGCCGCTGCCGCCGCTGCTGCTGCCTCCATCCTTGACGCATGTGCGAGACAACCGGGAAGAAACTCGGCATCGAGATGCAATCGAACAAAAACGCTCACCGCATCACTATACTGCTCACCACAAGTTCTGGCACAGTATTCAGCAAGTCGCTCAATTTTAACCGCACGGATCTGATATCGAGGATCTAGGAAGTGGTGCTGGGATGTCGCACCATAAACCAGCAGCGGATGCTCTCTCCATCATCAGGCTCAAAAGTTTCCTCCTTGACGACGCAAAAGCCGAGGCGGCTGTAAAAAGCAACATTCCGCTCGAGCTGCGTGGTCAAAATCACCTTGGTCAGACGTGACAATTCGAAACTGGATGACATGTCTACATTAATTTCCAAAGTCGGATGCGAATACTCGGAGTGAAAGCCCAGGCACCGTCCGGCCAGCCGTGTCTGCTTCCTTCAATGCTACAGTCAGTGCAGCAGTACCGACTCCGCTGCCCTGGTAGTCCGGCAACACCACCATGCGTTCCAGCAAAACGTGCTTCGGATGTTCGTTCTTCAAGACGTCCAAAGCTTGATCTGTCCACTTCGCGACAGCGAGCATGCGGCGCATGGAAGTCATGCCAAATCTCAGCGGCATTTCCAGAAGCCCGTGGCGAAGCATATCCCAGAGACTAATGCCAGGAACGTCTTCCGCAAATAGCCAGAAACAGCAGAGCAATTTGCCGTCCGCAGAATAGGCACCCTTGAACGTGCCATGACCACGGCCTGTGCGGATGAGATAATTTCGCAAGAACATCCACGTCAGAGCCGCGATCCGGCCCGGGGCATCTGGAAAAATGTAACGATATAACGGACTTTCAGCGAAAGCCTTTGCGGCGATGCTTGCTGCCAGACAAAGCTCCTCTTCCTCCAACAAGCTCTGTAGCCTTTCCATTTCGAAAACGCAACCGATACGATGTCTGTATAATCTTGAAAGCTGCCTAGCTGCTGCAAGGATTCAAACACCAGATCACGATGTCTAAGGTATTGCGTAACCACGCACAAAACAGCAGTCTTTGCCTGTCAACAATTGGGCAACAACTTGAGGTGTAGTTCAAAGAATGCGCCGATAGAATGGCTCATGATTATATATGTGAGATGAATGCAGCATTCAACGTCCAAAAAACCGCACTCCACAAAGTTTGCTGGAGAAGTGTTGCCAGTGGGTTGAAAACCAACTTACACAGGCAGTGCGATGAGACCAGATCCGTCTTTCGATGACTCATCAGTTTGCTTTCTGGACCTGGCTTGGCAAAACCTTAACTAAGCACACTTCTGGGAGAATTACAAGGAAACACACTTATCAAGTTCCCATTCGGCCAACTTCCTTGTTTACGAAAAAACATGTTGCCGCAAAAATGCACCGCTGGAAGGGTGATTTTCTCGTGTTGTTGAGATGCTAAGCATTCGCAAAACCAAATTACTGCGAAGATCTGAACGATTGGCAAGACACTGTACACCGCGATGCTAGCGAGGTGAAGTGAACATGTGGAGGTAAAGTTGTTGTCTATCAGTGCCACCTAAGAACTTCCTAGCAGCATCTGTCTGCTACGAAAACCGAAACCATCCCCACATCTGCTACAGCTGTACAATATGCAACGGGTGACACAAGTTTCGTCGAATCTACACAAGACAATATGTGAAACTGACGCGGTCAATCACCATTTAGCATGCTTTAGCCGACTTCCGCACACTGCCAAGGCACGTCTGCTGCACGCGTAGTACATTGCACGGTTTCAGGCTCTAAACTAAAGGTTAAAATTAAGTTAAAATGGGTTAAAGTTTTCAATAGATTTCCACGGCCTCAGAGCCATAGGAATCGATTTAAAAATATCGTGTTTCTTCTCCGTTTTCTTGTTGCAACATTTTGCATCTTTGTAATCTTGAGCGGGTATCTTGCTTGATGGGACGGTGCGTCTTGCGGTTGCGTCAAATCGTATCCAGTCGTGGCAGCAATAACTAATAGGGTAGTAGTCGTCGCGATTACAATAGCTTTGGGCTTGGCCGCCAAGCGACGAGTCGTGAAAACGATGCATGGTCTGCGTTAATGCTCAAGGCGTCCTGGCCGGGGCAGCAATGGCGAAGGTGGGCGATGCTCTGGAACAGAAAGAACACGACGCCATATCGTCCAACAATCACATTCATTCATTCACTCATTCACTCACTCACTCACTCACTCACTCACTCTCCCTCTCCCCCTCTCTCTCTCTCTCGCTCTCCCTCTTCTCTCACACTCACTCACTCACCCAGTCAGTCAGCCGTTCATTCATTCGGTGTCTCCCTTTCCTGTTTCGTTGCATTCAATGCAACTCATTCTGTTCCATTCCGTTCGTCCATCCTTCCATCCATCATCCACCCATACATCCACCCAGGCATGCATGCATCACTTCCCTCTTTCATTCTTGCTTTCAATTCAGCGCCTCATTAACTTTCCTTTGATTGAACCAACCTTTCATTGGTTCGTTCGTTCGGTCATTCATCCGTTCCATCGTTCGCTCGTATACCTTCCTTCCATCCACCCATCATTCAGTCATTCCATCCACCCGCACACCCATAAATCATCCACGCATCCATGCACGCAGGCAATGCGTGCATTCAGTTCATTTCATTGCACTTCACTCCACTCATTCATTCATTCATTCCTTCCTTCCCTCCTTCCTTCCTTCCTTCCTTCCTTCTTTCCTTCCTTCCTTCCTGCTTTCGTTCGTTCGTTCGTTCCTTATTGTGAAGTTCGTCGGAATTTGAGATATCACACAACTGGTAAATGAGTCCTGCACACAGGTATTACCCGAAATGATACGTGGGCCACGGAATCTATCAACATGTGGAAATCGAAGCTGCAACACGGATCACTCGATTTTTTTAGTCAAGGCCCGTCCCAGCTTGAAAGATGAGCCTTGGCTCCTTTTGGCATGTCTAGTTTACCGTGGACGCTTTTCAGAAATTCTCGGGTTGGGAGAACACAGATCTGGGCAGCAGCATTGCATGACATGCTGACAGGGGCACATGGCATGTGTTAAAATCGCATTCGAAAAGAGAGACATGTCAGTGCATTGAAACACGGCATCTTGCAGTCTTCTGTCTCTCTGGGAAAAACTTGATTGAAATTTCCATGGAAGGCTGCAATTCTTTTCTCGCTTCCATTCCGTTCCATTCTATTCCATTCCACGCGGAACCATGCGTGCATGCACGCATTCATCCCTTCGTTCGTTTTTATTCCTTATTCGCAAGACGGAATCCAATATACATTCCATATGTATATGTATCAAAATAAGTAAAGAAGACTCGCACTCTCTTTTATCCACATGGGATGCTACACTCCACGCCGTCTGCTTTCAGACGGCTCAGGGGTAGGCTCAAATTTCTGGGGAGGGCGGGCGGGCAGAAGTTTTCCTCGTGCCCCCCTTGATGCATGAAGTTGCCCAAGAATGTCAGCACCTCTCATGCCAGGAAAACTTCAAAGTTGGTTCAAAAACTGGATTCCTAATTTCAGTTCAAAATTGAACATGAAATTCATGCGAAACTGAATAAGGAGTTCATCCTTTCTGCTTCAGGAAGTTTAAAGGAGTAAACTTTTATTCCTTATTCGCAAGACGGAATCCAATATACATTCCATATGTATATGTATCAAAATATTCAATCAGTAAAGAAGACTCGCACTCTCTTTTATCCACATGGGATGCTACACTCCACGC